CCTTGGCAGTCTCAGCTGGCGCACTTGGTTGATTTCCGCGCGCTTGGCCGCCTCCTTCTTCTGGTACTCTTCCCGCACCTTTGCGATCCGCATCTTCCTTCATCTTTTTCAGCCGCGCTTCGCGCTCCGTGAGCTTGCGCGCGAGGTCGGCGGCTTCTGCGGCTTTTTGCGCTTCCATCTGCGCGCGGTGCACCTCGAGCAGTCGCTGCCGCTCCTCGGCTTCAATGCGCTTGCGCTCCTTCTCGGCGGCCGCGTACCGGGCAGCGGCCTCGGCCGACAGGATCTGCCGCGTTCGCTTCTCCTCGGCTTCCATGAGCAGCCGCGCCTCGCGCCGCTTGAGCCGGTCGACGCCCTCTTGCGTGAACGTGTAGTCTTCCTTCTCCATGAGGGCCACCTCGGCGCGGCGCTTGGTCTCTTGCTCCTTGCGCTCGCGGTGGTTCTGCGTCGCCGACACCGTATCAAATGCGGATGCGTTCGCCTCCTGGTTGACTTGACGCATCATGGCGAAGCGGTCGACCGGCATCTTGAGCCGCGGCTCGGCGGCCGGCGCCGGCATTACGCGCTGCTTGCTCATCCAGCAACGACCAGGACACGAAACGGTATACGTAACGCGACAATCACGGAGGCCACAATGCGATGGGAATAAGCTCTAGGAGCACGGAATCAAGCTTAGCTAGACGATGGGATAGTTGGCGGCCAAGTCGATAGAATGCTGCTGCCTGGGCTACTAGTACTACTTTACAAGCTCCACCCAGTCCCCAAGATGTGCCACTTGCAATGGCTAAGTGGTGGCTTGCTACGGTGGCGTCAATTCGCTACTTAGAGCTGCACGACAACGCACGGCCGTGTAGCGTAGGACGATGGCATGCCGAGGTTTTGTATCGTCTGGTGATACGTGGCGCGACGAGAACAAAGCATTGCGTTCTGTGTTGAACCAACGGCACAACACGACTTTAGGCTGCAAGTAGCCCCAGCCAACGCGAATGGCCTCGGCGACGCTACCGCTGCGCCGCACGGCTGGACGCATACAGCTCCTGCTGCGGTAGCGGAGAATGCAGTCCTTCTCCATAGCTGACCTCGCACTGACGCCAGCCGTTCAGTGTGGTAGGAGATTGCAGAAGGTCGTTGTCGGATATGGCCGACGGCGCGAGCTCGTGGCAGCCGCGCAAGCTGGTCAGCTCGCAGCCGCCTGTCGGCGAGGCGATCGATGCAATCTGCTGCCGTGCATGCATGGGCGCGACCAGCTCCAGAGTTGTTTGATATTGCGCCTGGATTCGTCCAAAAATGGCCTTTCTTCCTTATGCGCCAATCACAGCGCGTTCTGCCACTTTGCGCAAGGCCATTGGTGAAAAAGATATCGAATCTTCCGAGGACGGTTTCTTCGATTTCGAACTGGGGCCGGCCACGGAGGAGCGACCGGTGCCCATTCTACATCCGCCGATGGACCGCTTCAGCTACGTCCGCACGCTGCGGGATGCCATCTACGGCAAGGTCATCCTCGCCCGGCGAAACGCGAGCAACCACGACGAGCTCGTTGCGATCAAGATGATGAGCCTCCAGCACCTCGCGGCGCGCACGGCGCTGCGTGGCAACCTCCACATCAAGGAAGATGGGTACGAGCGCGCAAGCAAAGCACGAGCATTGCTTCATGCATGACGCTAGGCTGCAAGAGTTTGCGATCTTACAGAGTCTGGCGCCGCATGCGTCGCTGCTGCATCTCCTCGAGGACTTCGAGCACGACAACATGCTGTGTCTGGTCTTTGCCTACTGTCCATACGGCGAGCTCTTTGACCAAGTGCACGGACCCAACAAGACGTCGCGCGGCGTCCACGAAGCTATCGCCGCGCGCTGGTTTCGTCAGATTGTGCTGGGCGTCGTCCACATCCACGCGGGCGGCGTGGCCCACCGCGACTTGTCGCTGGAGAACATTCTGCTCGACGCGCAACAGCACTGCCGGTTCGTCGCCGCGTACACTCACCCATGGCTTACACTAGCACGTGATAGGATATGCGATTTCGGCTTGGCGACACAGCGCGGCGACCTCGCCACGGGCCGCGTCGGCAAACCCTTCTACATGGCCCCCGAAGTGTACCTCGGCGATCACACCAGCTACAACGGTGCGACTCTGCAACGCTAGCTCAGTACGCTCATCTGCTCCTCTGCAGGCTTTTCCGCCGACGTGTGGTCCCTCGGTATCTTGCTCTTCATCTTGGTCTGCGGCATGCCGCCCCTTGAAGTGCCTGGCGACCACGACGCCCGCTTCCGCATCGTCCGGCAAGAAGGCATCCGCGCGCTCGTCAAGATGTGGGGACTCCGTCTCTCGGAACGCGTGCTCGATCTGATTGCACAGCTTCTTCGCGTCCAGCCACACGAGCGGTCGTCGCTCGAGACCATCTTGCAGCACCCATGGCTTGCCGAAGTGGATGCATGCGACGACACCCCCGCGGTCGACTGCCGACCACCGAGCACGACGACCGCCGACGCCGACGTCATGCGATGCGACGAGAAGCGCCATGGGAGTTGCATGGCCTACGTGGCCTGATGGCCATGGGTGTTGTCGTCGTCGAGTACAGTGTAGTTGATGTGAACCGAGGGTGGTGTGAGTGTTTTTGTGTACCACGCCGTCGTCTTCGTGGAAGATGCGCAGCGCGTGCACAGATCGCACGTACGAGGAATCCAAAGCCGGCGTTGACGCCAAGGTGCCACTCTCGGGATTCTTCCGACGTGGCGGCCTCGGCGCCGTCGTGTGCGATCGCTGGGCGCCGATGGGCGGCCACTTTGCACTGCGTCGTCGGTGGTGCAATGTGGCGGTCCCGGAGCGGCGCCAGCTTCGTAGACAGGCGTCGCCACTTGTTATGTGCGGCCTCATACACAGTGCCCCGTCGCTGCATCTGGTCGCCGGATCAGACACCGCGTGCGCCTGCAAATGTCAATTCTTCCGCGTTCTGGGAATCGATGACGCACCCGTGTTGCTCACACCTCGGATGCACCGCGCGTCACAAGATGGGTTGAGCGGTGGCCTTGAAGAACCAGTGCGGCCGCGCTCAAGCGGCGTGGCCGTGGGATGTTGCGCTCTCGGCCGCATCGGCGACCATGGCATTGCCTTTGCCGTCGGCGTTAACGTCGGCATCGCCGTCGTCGTCACCGTCGTCGTTTTCGTCGTCGTCGTCGTTTTCGCCGTCGTCGTCGTTTTCGCCGCCGCCCGTCCAGTCCACAACGCAGCCCAGTCCCGTATAAAGTACACGCCTATGTCCACACGCGACACGTCTGGCACTGTTCATGGACAAGAACCCACGATGAGGAGGATGGTGAGGTCCTTGCGGGGACGACGGGATGGCGATCGTCCAGCACCGAGTCGAGTCGACGGAACCAACACGACAAAAAAGCGCCATTTTTACAACGCGTTAAATAAAAAGGACGACGACGACGACGGCGACGACGACGGGACTTATAAGCTCATGCTCGTGGCGTCGTCAGTGGCGCGCATGGATTGTTCGACGAGCTTGGCGTGCGTCATGCAGTAGCCGGAACGCTGGCTGTTTTTCCACAGCCGTCGTACTTGCCCCAGACGGCCGCCGCCGTGGCACTTGCAGCGGCCGCGCGCCT